TAATTTTACCCACAAACGGACTTGAAGTTTTTAAGCTAATTTTTTTTAAACAACTTTTGCCCAAAAAAGCATATTTTTGATCCAAAATCAAAAACGCATTCTGGATATTCAAAATAAAGACAAGTTTCACAAAGTTTGTATAATAAGCTTTCAGAAAATATATAACATGTTGGATATATAATACCATCTTCATTGTCTAATTACTCAATTAAAAAGCAAGCCAAATAAACTGCATCTCTACCTTAAACTATGCAATGCCAAAATAGCTTTTAATTATGCCGGTATTGGTTTGAGTTTCTACCACATGTTGGGTATAGTGGTGGATCATAGTATTTGAATTCTTCTTGTACATTCTACGTTATTGAGTAAAAAATAAGCAACACATGGCAGAATAACAAAATATACACAGACTTCTAGACAAACAGAAGAAAACACCAAGTTGGGCAGCACATACCCAAATATCTTATCAAAGAAGGACATTTTCTGTCGTCTCTCAGCATGTGACTTATCAAACACATTATTTTACCACCTCTGGAAACATTTAATTTAATAATTTAGTTTATGTACAATTTCATTTCTTGATTGCTAAAACTTACGCGCAGTGAGCTGCTGTTAAGATCCACTGTTCATCTATAATGACACCTCCACAGAAGTGACTGCCCTCAAACTGGAGTGAAACCTGCCATGGCCAGGAACCAGGCACTGCATTGTCTCCACCTACGATTCTATTGCTGCTTGAGGGTATACTGCCACATTCTATAGAAGGTAATACAAATACAAATCATACAGTAATCATAAAAACAAAATTGTAGAATATTGATGAATATTGTTGAACATTGGTGAACATAGAATATTGATGAACATTGTTGATGTTGTTGAATACTGATTAATGTTTTTGAATATTGATGAATGTGTTTGAACATTGGTGAATGTTGTTGAATACTGATTAATGTTGTGGAATATTGATGAATGTTGAACATTGGTAAACGTGGAATATTGATGAATATTGTTGAACATCGGTGAAGTTGTTGAATACTGATTAATGTTGTAGAATATTGATGAATGTTGTTGAACATCGGTGAAGTTGTTGAATACTGATTAATGTTGTGGAATATTGATGAATGTTGAATAGTGATGAATATTGTTGAACATTGGTAAACATAGAATATTGATGAATATTGTTGAACATTGGTGATGTTGTTGAATATTGATGAATATGTTTGAACATTGGTGAATGTTGTTGAATACTGATTAATGTTGTGGAATATTGATGAATGTTGAATATTGATGAATATTGTTGAACATCGGTGAAGTTGTTGAATACTGATTAATGTTGTAGAATAGTGATGAATATTGTTGAACATCGGTGAAGTTGTTGAATACTGATTAATGTTGTGGAATATTGATGAATGTTGAATAGTGATGAATATTGTTGAACATTGGTAAACATAGAATATTGATGAATATTGTTGAACATTGGTGATGTTGTTGAATATTGACGAATATGTTTGAACATTGGTGAATGTTGTTGAATACTGATTAATGTTGTGGAATATTGATGAATGTTGAATATTGATGAATATTGTTGAACATTGGTAAACATATAATATTGATGAATATTGTTGAACATCGGTGAAGTTGTTGAATACTGATTAATGTTGTGGAATATTGATGAATGTTGAATAGTGATGAATATTGTTGAACATTGGTAAACATAGAATATTGATGAATATTGTTGAACATCGGTGAAGTTGTTGAATACTGATTAATGTTGTAGAATATTGATGAATGTTGAATAGTGATGAATATTGTTGAACATCGGTGAAGTTGTTGAATACTGATTAATGTTGTGGAATATTGATGAATGTTGAATAGTGATGAATATTGTTGAACATTGGTGATGTTGTTGAATATTGATGAATATGTTTGAACATTGGTGAATGTTGTTGAATACTGATTAATGTTGTGGAATATTGATGAATGTT